GGAAATGATTTAGTTATTATCACTGAAGAATTTATTTCAAGTAATAATGAAAAATTAAAACAATTGTCAAATCATAACGAATTTGAAATCAAATGGTTAATAGATTTTAAAGCAGAAAATTTCAAAGTTGAAGATGAAGATTTGATTGAAGATAGAGAAGAAAATCCGTTCACCTTATAAATTTTTTATTATTTTTTTTTTAAAAGATATTTATCAATAAAAAAAAAAACTTTTTATTTTTTTTTATTTTTTTATAAAAATAATTACAGCTTTTTATTTTTTTATTTTTATTATTATTTTTTTATTTTTTTTTAAAATTACAGCAAACATCTAAATAGTACATGTTAAGTTTACTTCTTTCAGTCGATGGAGGTAAGCTTGTACAGAGGAGGGTTAGGCCGCTATTAATAGTGTAAATAATCCGGTTATAGACATATCTGCAAAAACCAAAAGTTAAAAAATAAATAAAATTTTAAAACCTTAATAATAAAAATTAAAAATAATAATGATATTTGAAATTTATGGTTATAACTTATCTATTTTTAAATTTTTAGAGTTGTTTATTTTATTAAAAAAAGGATTTAAACTTTTTTTTTTTTAATATATTTTTTAATTTTTTAATTTTTTAATTTTTTTTTTTTAATATAATTTTTTTTTTTTACCAATAAAAATCATTATTTATATCATGAATACACACACAACAACAATTAATGTTTAAAGGTTTTTTTTTTTATTTTGGTTTTTTTTATTTAATATTTTTATTTTTTTTATTATTATAATTTTTTTTTTTTTTTTTCATTTGTATATTATTTTTTTTGTTCTGTATATATTAATCATAAAATGAATCAAATATTTAATATTATATCACTTGTACATACTTTTAGTTTAAAATCAATATTGTTTTCATTACCAATTATATTTTTAACATTAACACCATTAATAATTATATCAATTTCAAATATTAGATATCAAACAAGATGTATTATAAAAAAGTTTCTATATCAATTTTTAATTAGCATCAGTGTATTATATAACCTATTTCAACTTGTAACATGCTTATATTGGGTAATCAATACGCAATATTATCAACTTTTAGGACACTCAATAAAATTTTTACAATTCTATGATACAATCGTTATATTATCTCCAATATTAATATGTATCACATCCATTTTTTTAGTAGTAATAAAAGATAGAGTTTTAAAGAAAATAAAAGACTTTAAAATAAATCAAAATAATATTGTAGACTATAGTAACCAAAACCATATAAATAACGAAATATTAAATAAAGATAATAGATTAATAGAAATCAAAACCTACCAACACATCATAAGAATCATATATATCTATATGTTTATATTTCTATTCTTGTTGGTTAATATCGGGAAATATACATGCTATAGGGTTAAGAACTTTGAAAAAATTGGTATTTGTAATAAAATCAATCATAATCAATTAGAAGAGTATTCAAGTATGTGGGTAGCTCAAGCTTTATTAAACTGTAGTTATATAATATTAACATTTCCAATTTTAGAATTTTTAAATAATAATTTTATTTAATAATAAATAATAAATAATAATAATAATAATAATTTTAATAAAATAATAAAAAATAATATTAATATTTTTAGATTTTTAAATTAAAAAAAAATATTTTTATTTTTTGTAATCTTTTTTTTTTTTATCATTTAATTAATTTAATTAATTGAAATTAATTGATGAGAGTAATTAATTGGAACATCAATATAAAGATGACCATTTGTAAATTTATAGTTCTTTAATGGAATAGTTTCGGTTTGAATTAAAGTTTCATTTTCGATTGTATTGAAATGATGATAAATTAAATTTACTGAAAAAATATTTTGAACATTAATTTTAAAATTAACTGAAATTGTTTTGTTGTCACCTTGTTGGTATGATAGTTCATTATTGTTGCCGCTGTTATTACTATTGATACAATTATAATTTAAGAAATGAATATAATATTTATCATTATTATTGTTATTATTATTTTTAGTTTTATTATTGTTATTATTATTGTTATTGTTATTATTTGGTGTTTCTGTTGATTTTTGTTGATATACAAATACTTTTATATTTGTTGAGGTATTATTTGGTTCAATTGATACTAATTTCTCTGAACATAATAAAAGTTTATCTAAAAGTTTTAAGAATATGGTACTGATATATTGATTATTATTTTGATGATATTGTTTAAAAATTGGGTTTGCACAATAGACTACTTTTTGATTTTGGTTATAAAGAATGGCTGGTGTTGGTTGTAATTTTTGTTCTGAATTATTGCTATGGTCTAATATTTCACGATTCATAACTGCTACAACATTTGAATCAGATTCAGATTGAACTGTACCACCATGCTCTGCACTTAAAAGTACAGAGTTATTAGTCTCTAACTCTAAACAATTATTGAAAAGTTGGTTCATTGTTAAGTTTGATTTAATTGCACTGCTGCCGCCGCCGCTGCTGTTGTTGTTCTTTTTACCAACTAGTTTTGATTTATCTATTACTGTTGAGGTCATAATTAAACGATCATAACTTTCACCATCGCTTTCATTACTATTAAATCTAATATCGACTGGTAATATAAATGATTTCTTTGTTGATTGATCCAAGCCAGAGTAATTTGACATAAAAATTGTACCGCCTTGGTTAAGATATTTTTGAAGCTTTAAGGATTGATCACGAGTTAATGTGCAATAGTCTGGGAGAACTAAAACTTTATAACGACAAAGGTCATCTAATACAATGGATTCGATATGACTAACAACATTGAATTGGTAATTTTCGCTTTCTAGTAATGAAATGGCACCGTGTAATGAAGAAAGGACAGAGTCTATTTCAAAGCCACATTCAATATCGGGACATACCACTGCTAATTCTACCATTGGTTTACCTTTAACAAATATTTCTTTACATGACATTAATTCATATAATTTATTTATAAGTTTGAATTGATTTGAATTTAAATTGTTACATTTTGATTTATAATTATTACTGTATAAAAGAAATTAGTAAATTATATTTTTATTATTTTTATGTTCTTTAAAAAAAAAAGATAATAATACTTACAATAATGTATATTTTCCATTTAATAGTAATGAATATAATAATTGATAAGAAAGGGTGTCGAATGACTTTAAAAATGGTGTATTGTTTTGATAGATACCAATTTTACCTAGAGTTTGATAGTTTGAAATGGTTCTTGAATAACGCGAGTTTAAAGAGAATTGGTATTTATTCATAAATTCTATTTCTTGATAGTTTGATGGGATAAAGTTATCTTTGTTAAAATTGAAATTACTGGTATTTTCGAAACCTATCGAAATTGGGACGATTTTCTTTTTTTTGTAAAGTGGTGTATTTGTTAAAGGTGTTGGTGTAGCAGATTGGTTTGATGGAATTATATTTGATAAGATGAATTGGGTCATTAATCTTTTAAAATTTTCAATAGTATAGTCACCAAATAATTTAATGTCTTTGATTCTACTAGGGTCTAAACCATTGAGTACCATTGATTCTTTACAGTTTTCACAGATACAGAGTTGCGATTGGATATCGGTAAAGAATATACCATCTAATTTTTCATTGAATTCTTTTAATTGCGAATCTAGATTTGAAACTATTAATTTAATTTGATCTTGAAATTGTGTACTATTTAAACAAAATATAGGCTGGACATTGTTGAACTCGAGTGGGATATTTTCAGGTGTAACTTGATAGATAAATGGTGATTGTAAGAATTCATTAGATGATGTTAGCTGTGATTTTGATACTGAAACTCTAAAATTGACCAAAATATTACTGGAATGAAGTGCTTTAACGATGGTTTTAATATTTTCAAAGTTTTGGTTTTCATTAAAAGGTATTGAAACTGATGTGATATGTGATGATTTTAAAATATTTTCAATAAAATGGTTTAATTCTTCTTGTTTTAATGATTCGAGTGAACTGTTGCTATCATTATGTATTATTAGTTGTCTTGATGGTAATTCTTTTGAATATTTAATATTTTCAACATCTACTTTCATTAACTTTTGTGATTGTTGGTGTAATGGTGATGAAGATTGTGATGTTGTAGAGATACTAATATTTTCTGGCACTTGGGCGGATGCTGTGGCAGTTGAGGCTGGATTACTAATAGACGAGGTTGATGATGATAATGAATTTGATAATGGTGATGACGATGCTGAATCTGGGTGATGTGATTCTTTTTCTTTTGATTGTTGTTGCTGTTGTTGCTGATGTTTTTCATTCTTTTCATTTTTTTCATTCTTTTCATCTCTTTTATCATTTCTATCTTTTCTATATGGTTTTCTTTCACCTTTATCTTGTGGTTTTGATCTGGCAAAATTTACTAAAATAACTTTACAATTACTTGCAATATGACCAACCTTAGTACAATTGGAACAGATTTTGTTAATATCTGGTGTTGGACACTCTTTTTCTTTATGGCCTTTCTTTGAGCAATTTTTGCAAATTATAATTTTTTTAACATCATCTTTAGGTTTTTGTTGCTGTGGTTGTGGTTGTTTTTTTTCTTTTGGTTTTTGTTGTTGTTTTTCAAAGCTAAATAAAATATTATTTGCATTTGATAATGACGATGAGGTTAAATTAATATTATTTTGTATTCCGGATGCCCTTTTAAATAACTTTTTATTTAATATTAAAAAAAAAAAATAAAAAATAAAAAAAAAAAAAATAAAAAAAAGTATAAAGTTTTTATAAAATTTTAGAAAATAAAAACTATTAATAGAAAAAAAAAGGAATATGAGAAAATAATATGTGAATGTATAAAAAAAAAAAAAAGATTGTTGTTGATCAAAAAGTTATTATTATAATAATCAATACTATTTAAAAATCCAACAAAAATTTATAAAAAACAAAAAAAATTAAAAATTTAAAACCAAACTTTGGGTACGAAAAAAAATCATTTTTTTTTTTTAAAAATAATTATTTTTTAAATTTTATTTAAATTTAAATCACATCACTCACCTATTTTTGGTGCAGTGCGTTCCCATTTGTTATAAAAATTATTTTTTCAATTACAAAAATTTATAAATACAAATTCTCAATATAGTAAAATAAATCTATAGAAAAAAAGTGCAATACTATCACAACCTATAGCTCAAATTTTTATTCTACTTGTATTTATGTGTGTGTATGAAAATGTGTGTGAATTTTTATGTGTTTGTGTGTGTAAATTTATAGTGTGTTAAAAAAAAAAAAAAAATATAATATTGTATATATTAAAGTTCCATATAATGATCAATATAAATCATTAATCATTTTGTTTTTTAAATCATTTTGTTTTTCTATTTAATATAGTTTAATAAAAAAAAAAAAAAACTTTTTTTAAAATTTAATAATATATTAATAATAAAATAATAATAATAATAATATCACTACTATTAATAATATTAATATTAATAATATTAATATTAATATTAATAATTATAATATTACAATTAATATAAATTGTTTTAGTTATTAAAAATTATTTCAATCAAGTTAAAAATAATTATTAATAAGTTTAGAAATTAAACAAATGTTCACACCCCATCCAAAACACACAATTTTATTTTACATTGTCATAAAAATAATAAAAAAAACAAGAAAACAAAACTCATTATTATGGCGAAATTAATAATGAATTATATTTCTATAAATATTATTGTTATAATTTATTATTGTTAAAAATATATGTATATATTATTTATGTTTTCTATAGAGACTGTTGAAGTGTTTCTATAACGAGCTCAGTGTATTTTAAAGCATTCTCTGGTTGGGGGTGATTTATATAGCAATACAATAAAAAAAAAAAAAAAGAGAAAATTCCTTACCACACCCCCAAAATTATAAACAAATATTTAAGATAAAAAAAAAAAAAGATATAATAAAAATGAAATAATTAATAATTTAAATATTATTTTGATTAAGTTCACACCAACACACACATATATTTTATTAGTATCTTATTTAAACAGAGATGTTTTTTTTAAAAATCCTTCTTTTATTTTAATTTAAAATAAAAAAAATAAAATTTTAATATTGTCGATTTATATAGCTATATTATTATTATTATTATTATTATAACTGCCCCAACCACATGGGATATTAAATAATTATTCCTCCACCCACACAATGTCCAAAATTTTAATTTGTAAAAATTAAATTAATTATAAAATTTTTAATTAAAATAATATCTTGTTAATCTAATTAAATATTTCCATTTACTTTTATTTTATTTAAAATTTATAATAATATCGTATTTTATTTAATTGTTTACTGTTGTTGTTGTTGTTGTTTATTTTTTATTGTTTAATGTTTAATGTATGTGTGTGAAATAAATTGTAATATTATTTAGTTTGGAATTGTATTATAAGAGTGTGTGTGTGTGTTTATGTATTTGTATTTATAATAATAATACAACAAAATTAAGTAGATATATATCTATAATAGTTTAGAATAAAAATAAATAAATAAATAATAAATAAAATATTATTTTAAAAAAAAAAAAAAAAAAAAATTAAGATTATTATATTAAATTTTTTTTAAAATGAAATCTTTTTTTAGGATAATAAAAAAGAATATATATTCAAATAAAAATAAAAACAATAATCTCTACTCTTTATCCCCAAATAATTATAATAATATAAATGCTGATATAAAAAATAATTTAAATCAAAATAATATTTATACAGAACCCAAAAAAAAAAAATTTAAACAACAATAATAATTTTTTTTAGTTTTTATCCCAACATCAACAATATTAAAAGGGAATTCCATTATTAAATTTTGGAAAAAATTGATTTCAACCATTTCAGAAAAGGTTATTAGGTAACATTATCGAAAAGAACCTTACCAAAAATAACCAAATTACTCTTAAAACTTCAATTACAATAGCCCAAGAGGTATATGCATCGATATTAGAGGCGAGCCTAAACTATCCAATAAATAACAGTAGATTAATAGAGTTCTCTCAGAGTGAATTTGCAGAGATGTCTCATTCATTATTAAATTTTACAACCAATAATAAAAATCTTAATCAATTTATAAAACTAGAGTTAGATAAATCATTTTTTTTAGGTAATTATTTATAAATGATTTAATTAAATTCTTTTATAAATTAATATATTAATTTAATGTTGTTTTTATTATAGTTATGGAAATTAATTCAAATGGTAAAAGATTCAACGATTTAAATCATAAAAAATATTTTTCAGGAAAAAATAGCAAAGAGAAATTATTACAATTGGGTCAAGTTATAGCATTTGAAATATTTTGTAATAATTTTGCTCGTTCACCATTAAATTGGAATGAACATACATTTTTTTCAAATTTAATATTTTATAATAAACCAAATAGTAATGGATGGTATTTTTCAATTATTCATTCAAATGTAAATAGATACAATGATAGTTTATTCTCAAGAGGCTATAGAGAACAAATCAATAGATTAAAGCTCTTATTGTTTTCAATATTTCAAAATCAAAACCACCAGAGCCAAGAAATAAGGAAGATGAAGGATTTTTTATCAAAAGTTTTGCATATCAATCTGCCTTCTTCGTCCCATATATACCTTCAAAGAGGAATTGTAATAGGAGTAGAGTCCATAGTTTCCAACATTTCTTTCACAATGCTGGAGTCTGCCAAACAAAAAATAAAAAACCTTATAATAATAGACACCCAAAACAATCAATGGAAAAACGGTATAAATTCAATTTATTATTGCCCTTTTCTATTGGATGTTTTAAATGACTTTGTATTAGATTATTCAAATTTTAAAGAAAAAAAAATAAAAATAAATTTAATTTTGTAAATATTCATTTTAAAAAAAAAAAAAAATTTATTGTTGCAATGCCATTTTTAAGAAAAAAATATATATTATATAAATAATTTCTTTATTTTTAAAAAAAGAAATAAAAATTCTTAAATTTATTATTTTAGTTTTTGGTGTCGATTATAATTTATTAATTATTCTAATAAACTTATTTTATAGCTTGTATAAATTGAAAATATTGAAGAAACTAATGATACAAGTGTTGAAACTAATATTGTTTTCCATCCTCTTCCTGGTCCCCATGACCAAATATCATTTTCACCCTGGAAGCTTGAATGATATCTTAATTGTTGCTGGCATCTTTCTTCACCAAATTCATTATAACAATCCTAGAAATTAAAAAGAAAAAATCATTAGTTACTTTTGTTTAAAATTCAAAGTTTTTTTTTTTTGTTACCATACAATTCGAATCGATTTGGGTATTGCAAAACAACATGCCCAAGCTATAAATATAAATAATGTTGGTAAACAAGGTCCAAATGAAAAGAAAAATTTCCAATATTTTAGTTCTCTTAATGTTTTGGGGTTATTATCTTTAGGTATAAATTGAATATCTATCATAAATAAAATTGTTAAAATTGCCAAAAAACATAATATAATAAAACCTAATGATAGGAACGTTCTAATTGCTTTCAATACTGAAAGTAAATTTGGCGTTTCAAATCCAAAAGCTTCTCTAAAATATTCCTGTTCCCCATCCAAACAATCTACTTTATTATAATATATCTCTTTATTATTTATTAAAAACTCGTTGAATTCGAACTCCTTTTTATAAAAAATATCTTTTTTAAACTTTCTTCGTACCATGGAGCTACATAAAATTACATTATTATTAATTACATAATTATTATTTTTAATTATTTTTAAATAAAACAAACTACCTATCGA